ATTCACAGTATAATAATGACGTCATTATTGCTCTTCTGTAGAGTAATAACAGTGATTCACAGTATAATAATGACGTCATTATTGCTCTTCTGTAGTAGTAGTAGTAACAATGATCATGGTGTAGAAATGATGTCATTATTACTCTCTGTAGCAGCAGAGTAACAATGAGCATGATGTAACAATGACATCGTAATTACTTCTCTGTAGTAGTAGTAATAATAATAACAATTGCAGTGTGCACTGACCACATCTGTGCCAGGCATGGTTCTAGGGCATTTTTTTTTCCTGTGGAACATCTGGTAGATTCGAACTGCTGACCTCTCAGTAAGCAGCAAAGCACTTACCACTGCACCACTAGGGCTTCTTATCATTACCATTACCACCACAAAGAGAAATACTAGTAGTTATATGTGTAATATCTCATTTAATCCTCTTCATACCCACTAATGTCAATGTCATTTTAGATGAGGAAACCGAAGTTCAGAGAGGTCTCACACCATTCCTGATCTTTTAGCCACTCAAGACATCATCTGGACAGAGGAAGAAACTAGCTGACTTCTCTAAGGTCACAAAGCTGAGATATAATGAGGGTGGGATTTGAACCTAGGCCTGTCAGACATGGTACCACTCAGTCACTCTGCTGGCCTTGGCGTTCAAGATGGACTCACCAAACAGTGCTCCTCCCAAACCGTCTGTGCACACCCCAGCCATCAGTCCCTGACTTCCACAAGGCAGAACCAGCGGGAGACAGGAAGGGCTCAGCTTGTTCACATCCTAAGGACTAGGGTTAGCTGACTAGAGACTCAGGTCACAGAAGCTAGAATGGGGTGGGACGTCTCTGAACCTCAGTTTCCTCATCTCTGGGCTCAGAAGACAGAGATGGACACAGAAGATGGAGGTGGGCACAGAGGATGGAGGTGGGGACAGAGGGCAACTAGCTAGGGTCACTCCCTGAGGCTCTGCCCAATAATCAAAGAATGTGATTCCACTCACTGAGACGTTCCAGCCTCTCAGCTAAGTGAGTCTGCCTTGTTCATTCAGTCAAGATTCATGAACTCATCCATCCACTCATCCATTAAACAATCACCTGCTGAGCCCCAGCTCTGGCCTCAGATACAGGTTAGCCACAAGTCCTGCCTTCAAGAACCCCCAGTCTAGGAGAAGACAGATATGAAACAAATTTGAACCCCAGAGAGCTGGCCTTGGCGTGGGGAAGCCCAGGGGTCTGTGGGAGCCCAGAGAAGGCCTATCCCTGCTGAAGGGCAGGAGTTAGGGGCATGGGCATGAGGGGAGTGAGCATGGAGAAGATCAGGAAGATAGGACCTCAGTAGCATGCAATGGGTGTGACCAGCAGAATGTCTTGGGGCATCCTTTGCCAGAGGCTTGGTGAAGCTGAACTGCTGGGGAGGGGTGTAAGGTGCCTGTTAGCCTAGTTTGGAAGGTGACAGGAGCTACGTGTGTTTCTCTAAGATTAGTCATGGCTGTCATCTGGTGCTCTCCATTCTCCTGGCTCTGTGCACACCATTATTACTCTTCCGTAATAGTAGTAACAATGATAACAATGTAAGAATGACATCATTATTACTCTTCTGTAGGAGAAGTAACAATGATCACAGTGTAGTAATGATGTCATTATTACTCTCAATAGCAGTAAAGTAACAATGATCATGATGTAATCTGATCATCATTACTCTACCGCTATAGCGTAGTGGCTCTGGCTCTGGCAACTCCAAGCCACCACATGCTGGAGTCCTGCGTGGGGGAATCTCACCTTGCCAGCCCTCTTGACCCATCACCAGCCCACTTGACCCAGCACAGACACGTGGATCTTTGCAGGCATCCTTCTACCACGTCATGGAGGTGGGCAGAGAGGACAGAGATGGTCACAGAGGATGAAGGTGTTCCCAGGACATTCATTCAGCCCCCACTGTCTCCCATAGACCTTGAATATCTATCTATCTGTCCTTTCCCTCTTGTCTGTCCAATAGGAAGTCTCTCCCAAGCTTTGTGCCCCAGCTCCAGGGCCACCTCCCTGCAGCGTGGAAGTGACCAGAAATTCCTTTAGTGCCCCAATACCCTGGGAGGATTTGTGGAGGGTTTTGGTGGCACAATGGTTAAGCACTTGGCTGCGAATCAAAAGGTTGGCAGTTCAAATCCACCCCATCAATCGTTCTGCAGCATGAAAGACCTGGCGATGTACTCCCATAGGATGACAGCCTAGGAAAGCATCTGTGTGCTATGTGCCGTGGAGTCTGTTCCAACCCATAGCGACCCTGTACAGGGTTTCTGAGGCTGTAAATCTTTACGGGAGCAGAAAGCCTCTTATCTTTCTCCCGCAGAACAACTGGTAGTTTTGAACTGCTGACCTTGTGGCTCACAGCCCGATTCGTATCCACTACGCTACCAGAGCTCCTTAAACCATCTCTAGTGGTTCTCTATTCTGTCCTACAGGGTGGCTGCTTGACAGCAATCAGATTGAGAGCAAGCGTTCGTGGGACACACATTTAGCTCTCTGGTAATGACAAAGTCATCTTCAGAAGTGTCTGTGAGGATGCGCATGAGTGTGAGGGGTGTGTCTGATTACATGTGTGAGTGTGCGTCTGGGAAATCTGTATAGTGTGAGTGTGTATGAGTGTACGTTTGCACTAATGTGTGTGTGCCTGTCTGTGTAAAAGTAAATATTTGAAGGCGTGTGTGTGTGAGGGTGTCTTTAGTGTGAGGGTTTGTGTGTGTGTGTGTGTGTGTGTGTGTGTGTGTGTGTGATGACACATGTGAGTGTGAGTGTGCTCTTATGTGAGGGTGGATATTTGAATGTGTGCCTGTAAGTGAAGAGTGTGTGTTTGTGTGTGAAGACGTTAAGGGTGTGTTTGAGGGTGTATGTGCGTGGGTGTCTGTGAGTGTGTGTGTTTGTGTGTGAGGATGTGTTTGAAGGTGTGTGAGGGTGAGGGAGTGTGAATGTATGTGAGGGTATGGGTGTATTGTGCATGTGTGTTTTGTGTGAAGACATGTATAGTTGTGCATGTTCATATTGAGGGTGTGTTGGGGGAGTTTGTGTGTGTGAGAGAGAGTGTGTGTGTGTTGGGGGCGGGGAAGGAGCTGGTGTGGAGGGAAAACGTTGGGCGCACACTTATGCAGGCAAAGTGGACAAAAAGAGAAAAGCCTTGTCTTTGAGTTGGCCTGGAAAGCCGGGGAAGAAAAAAGGCGCTCTTATTGGTGGTTGTCAAGGAGATGGGCCTTGGGGTTTGCTGAACTTTCTTCCCTTGAAGTGTCTCGCCTGGAGCTGAGAGGAGCCATTTATTTCCAACCAGGCCTCCGGGGCGGGGTCCCGGCCAGGCCCCAAAGACTGAGGGGCGTCAGGTGTGTCCCCAGGCCAGGCCCTAGCAGTACCCTCCGGGTTCTGTCACTGGGGAAGCCCGGAGCTCGGGGGTCAACCCTCGGTGTAGTCTTGGCTGCTGCGGAGCTGCGCCTGCCCCATTCCAGACGCGGTCCCGGCTGTCCTGTGATAGCCACTCTTTGGGACCATTGTCCTTTGCAGAGTGATGCCAAGTGCTCCTTTGCTTGCACGTGGCATTTAAGATCGATGTCTCAGTTTTTCTCGTCGGCGGTTCACCGCTGCGAGGCCAGCAGCTCACTGCACACAGTAGGTGCTCAATACACGCTCAAGAGCCGACGAAGGTACTCAATTCGGTGTTTGTAGATTGCTCCAACAAATGACCGCCAATGGGCCTCGGCGACCTCCCGCAGGCGGGGGAGCAGCCCCCTCCTCACCCTGAGTGTGTGTGTGTGTTTGTGTGTGTGTGTGTGTGTGCTGGGGGTTCCTCCAAGAAGCGCCCACCCT